CATTGATTTCCACTTGGGAATGACTACGTACGCCTCTGATAAGATATGTATATTTGCTATGTTCAGTTATGATATCTGTTATATGATGTTTTGTATACTCTGTATCTGACTTTCATGCAAGAGTGGGCCCAGGGGTATGGAGAATTCTCTATAAACCTGGAGCTTATTGAGATTTGTTATCTCACCCCTTTTTGGGGACATCATTTCAGGTGTTCAGATTCCCGGTGAGCCCTCACGAGACAGGGACACGACTCGTGGATAGAGGGGTTGTGACGGACCGGACTTGGAGTAGCTGTAGGCTACTGATTTTTTATGGTTATTTATATGGTTTGAGTATTTTGTTATTTTGAGATCATGATGTATGATCCATTCCTTGTATATGGCCTGTATATGTTTTGTACATGTCTTTCGATTCTGATGTATATACAATTGAGTATTCAGGCATGTTTATGTTATAATGTAGTATTTAGTTACATGATTACATGTTGGATATGCATGCTATTAGTCATAGTGGCACGGAGCCAGGTTATGCATGCGCCCATGGATGGGTATATGGTCCTATATGGATATCTAGTATTTCTGAAATCATATATTGTATAAATTGTTTATCTGAATACCTTGAGAGTGGAATTTAAAAATCTCCATTAGTCCGATTTACAGACGATACTCTGTCCGATTTTTGTCTTCTTTAAATGAAAAGTAAACTAAAGGATATATGCAATATTGAATATCATGTGAATGAGATAAAAGAAAAAGGAAAAAGTTAGCTCGTATTTTCATAAGTTAAGTCTTCCGTTGTTTCTGTTTAGTATCATATGTATGTTAATTGAACCGTCTCGAGACAGGGATGTTACATTCCCTCACACAAATCAACATTATTGCAAACATACTAATATTTATAAGATAAATGTACTAACAGGGGCAGAACAACTGGCGTTTCGTAGCGAAAATACTACAAATAGGAACAAATTTTTGTCCCATCAAATATCCCAAAACATAACTATTGTTCGTCCCCGAACAAACCTATTGCAACTAATCACTTTATTCATAAAGAGTCAATGCAACAATCACAAGTTAGAAATCAAGAGACAAAATTCACAAAATAACAAATTCTTATCATAGTTCACAAGTCAAGCAAGATTTCAACCAATTAAAGTCATGCAAGATTATTGATCCATACTTCACTAAACACTCATGGACACTGTTTCGCTCATTTTTTCCGGAGAATCCATGGTTCCATGAACTTGAGTATCCTCTTCTTTCCTAAAAATCACTTGTTCTCTTCAACCAAAGGGACTTTTGAGACTTGTAACAAGGCTTAGGCTTAGGTAGGAGTGTTTGGACTTGGCTGCTTTAGAGTGGGGAATGCTGATTCTTTTCTTTGTTTTTAAGAACAACTTCTTTGTATTCATGGAAACGTCTTCATTGTGAATGCTTTTGTGTCTTGCTTTTCCTTCTGGGAGCATTTTATTTTTTCTTTACTTTGACAGTAGTTTCTTTCTCTTCATTTTGACATTCCTTGATAGTCTTTTGACTTCTTCAATGTTGGTGTTCCTGCTTTTGTCGTTCCTTGATCCGAATTTCTCACCTCTTGAGACAGGTTTAAAGAATTAGAATGTATCAAAGATGGTGAATATGAAAATGATACAAGGGTTAGATTTTGGGCTCAAGTTGATTGAAAGATGGCCATTGTCCTTTCGAAGTTCGCAGGTGATTATGCAGTACTAAAAATGTCAATGCAAGTTCGGGAACAAGAAAACTATGGAACACTCTCTTTGAAAAGTTTAGTGTTTGGATTTTGTTCCTCACTATAGACTCGCTCGGATCACAATCCTAAGATTCAAAATTTAACTTTTCTTCTTCACCTTTTTTCAGAAATTTTGTTCTTGAGTTAACTTTGCTATACAAACAAACAAAAGCAAGATAATTATTCAAAGTATAAAAATAAATCAGGGTATTTCGTTCCAAAACAACAAACGAACTATCAAACAACAAATATTATAATTCTTCAAAAATCAAAACTTCTACAAGTAGTAGTGTTTTCAAAACAACAAATAAAATTGAAATCCTAAAAAAATTAAAATATGCAAAAAAATAAAAAAATATTGCAGAAAGATAAAAAATGTAGAGATAACAAAGATATGGTTGGTTGGTTTAGTGGTTCCCCTTTCTTTTTTCTCCTTTCCTCTTCTCTTTTTCTTTTCTCCATTGCTTCACTTCTTCTTGTTCCTTCCATTTTTTTTAAGGTGGCAACATCTGCAATCTTGAAATTATGTTCCCGAGTTCAGCCGTAGGGAACCATCTCTTTTGGTTTTTCTAAAATTGGGTTAGAGTGGCAAAAAGTTTGTTAACAACCTCCTTCAACGAGTTGATGTTCGATGACATTTGACTCAGTTGTTCTTGTGGAATATCAGCTAGTTAAAGGGTTGAGGTAGAGACTAGATTCTCTAATCCCCCTAGCATCTCACAAATTTCTCCTAGGCCCATTTCTAATTTCCTTCTAATATTGAGGAGCAATGCTTGGATGTGGGCTTTGGTTTTCTTAGTTCTTTGGAGGGATTTTGCTTTTGTGGCAATAGGGGGACAATTGGAAGTGGTTTTGGATTTGAGGTTAGATTTATGTGATATTTGGTGGTGGAGATGAAGTGGTGGTTCATCAACAGATGCTGGGACAAATTGGATTGAATTAGATTGAATTAGGTGTCAGTTTGGGAGTGGGAACGATGTGAGGTTCATCAGTGCGTGTGGGTTGGGGAGAGGAATGAAATGCAGTTTTGTCCTCTAGAATGATAGGTGAGTGAGTGTGGGCTCCCAAATTGATTACTCTCAATCTCAAATTTTGTCGCTATAGCGTAAAGAATACTTTGATTGTTAATTGTATCGAGTTATACTATTTCACCATGAATAGTATCATATACGTGAATAGTACCATATGTACAAATAGTACCGTATACTATAACAAATCCAATATACGTTAATAATAATGTAAAAATATACAACCACACGTGTGAATAGTATACGTAAATACTAGCTAGTAACCAATCAGCTCTGATAACACTATTAAGTAACAAAGTCTCATGCAACTAAAATAGAGCTGGGAGAAACAAGAATATCAATACACTATTAACCACAACAATTGGCCAGGTAAGTGTAAATCCAAAAGGAGTCTCTTCGTGCTACGCAATGCTGACTAATTAAATAATCAATCACTTTCCTATACACCAACCGTGTAATTAACTTTATCTTGATTCCATCGATCAAGAGATCAAATAATACACCAATTGAAGTGACACACAAGATTTATGTGGAAAACCCAATTAGGAAATATTACGGGCAATATCAAAAAAGATTTTCACTAAATGAAACAATTTATAACTTCTCTCTAGAATACAGAGAGAGAACAATATTACTCTCTCTTATATTAGAAGAATACATCTCATTCAAAATAATACTCAAGAGATACTAATTTTTTTTTTTGAGTTTTTGAACTGTTTCGTCCTTCGAACTATATCTGGTTCGAGCACTTTTCATGCCTTATTAAAGGGGGCAGCTCTCCTAAATCTATTTTTTCATTCCCAAGACTCGAATTCGAAATTTTAGTTAAGAAAAGATACTAATTTTTCTCTAAGTTTTGTGGAATTTCGGGATCCAAAGGAAACACATGAACTTAGAAAGGATTGAAAATGAATTGCAAAGCCCCTATTTATTGGGTGCTGCAATTTGAAATCCCATTCAACTTTCCGAAATTTCAACAGTATACCATGCGGAAATTCATGCTCAAAAACCAATCCAAAAGCCACTATATGAATAATGATTCATGTGGATAATAAACCACCAAAAGTTGAGCTGAGAATGAATAGAATTTTGTGAAGGGAAACATTGCCTTCCCTCGTAAGGACATAGTGTTTGACCTTTAAGATTATATATAATTTTTCCATAATTAAATTAAATAAATCAATAACAAATCAATCAAGAATTTAATTATTTTTTTTAATTTTTATGTTTTATCCTTTTGAATTTTTGAATAATTTTAGTCTATTTTTTTATTTTTATAATTTTTTAAAACACACACTATAGTTAAAAAAGAAAAACTCATAATTTATTAACATGTAAAATACTAAATAAAAAATGAAATAAAATAAAAAATTATTTCTTTTTCTTAATAATTTTTAAATTTTTTACTTTTTGAAAAGACCAGACAAAATTGAGTAAAATAAAGCATAGACCAAAAAATAGTGACATAAAGATTTTCACGTTTTTTCTTCCTTGTGATATGTCGAGCAAGTAATTTGCATTTTGCAGTCTATTTTAAGAAAATGTCAATGGAAATTGGAGCTCGCTTTATTGGTAAAATTGAAGGCCAACGCATGTAAGAGAATTTCTTTCAATGCAAAGAGTTCAAGAGTTCCCGAGGCTTAAGCGAATTGCAAACCGTATTCAGTACTTCTATACTCCTTGAAATTAAAGGAGTTCCATTATAAATTTCTCATTTAGTAATTCATAATAAAGATTACAATAACCTACTGAATTGAATTATGGAAGAGGATATACTTATTATCTTTTTTTTTTACTACTTCTAATTATTAAATCTTAATTGTTAATTTTCATCAATTTAACGATTATAATTTATTGCGTCATTTTTATTAATTAATTATAACCGTTAAATTAACAAAAATTAATAATTAAGATTTGGTAATAATAGTAATAAGAAAGAAAAAAAGTAATAAATATAATCTCTCTTGAGTTATTTAGTGTCAAGTTGTAAATTTTTCTCAATCATATTCTATTGTAAATTTCAATTAAGCATTCTTTTGTTCATAGAATTCTGTGTTTATTTTATAGGTTTTATAAGAGTTATATTGTAGGAAAGATGATTGTGTTATATTATAGAGATTCGTTTTGCGTGCCGTAGTTTTTTTTTTTTAAAACATGTGGGTCCACAAAATGTGTGTGTAGAAAATTTCTTGTGATCATGTTAAATGACGAATGCAAACCCCTTATTTTATAGCGTATCTAGATACACTGTAGAAAGAACAAGCAGGAGTTCATAAAATACACTCGAATAAGTAAGCAGGAGTTCCCTAATTTTGTATGTTCAGAATAACCAATTTATACGACATTGGAAGGTGAAACCATGTCATTTTCTTGCTTCCATATCCTATCCTATCTTCCATCTAGCACTGAAATGGAAATTTCATTAGCTGAGCACAGTTTGCGATTTACCGACAAAGAATGTACTTCAGGTGTAACATTATTTTCAATGTAGAAGCCAGGAGCCTTTGGTTGTGGCAATAATTTCTCACCATTGAGCATTAGAACCACAGATGACATGTCTGGCCTATCTTCTGGTCTTTGTTGCACGCATAATAGGCCAACCTGTATGCATCGCATGACTTCAGAGAGTGTGCATTGTTCCCCGAACACTTCATCCAATAGCTCTAGTGCCCTCTCTTCAGCCCATAATCTCCATGCCTAAGATGGGAAGTAATACTAGTGAGTTGGTAACAGTTCGAATTTGACTAATCAACAAGTTAGTAAGGTCATTATGCTTACATGTCCAAGAAGGTTACGATAGTGTTCTGGGTCTGAAAATCCTCTATTCTTCTTCCCACTTACAATCTCTAGTATTATCACACCATAACTAAACACATCTGATTTCATAGAGAAATGCCCATGCACGGCATACTCGGGAGGCATGTAACCACTGAAAGTATAATTTAAAGTAAAATAAGGGACACTTGGCAATGCATTCTAAAGAAAACATAATATCATAAAAACTAACTTACTATGTTCCAACCACCCTATTTGTGTTTGCCTCCACTTGATCTCCCAAAAATGTTCGAGCCAAGCCAAAGTCCGATATTTTTGGATCCAAATTTGCATCTAGAAGAACATTGCTAGTTTTTAGATCTCTATGAATGATCCTCAATCTAGAGTCTTGATGAAGATAGAGAAGTCCTCGAGCAATGCCACTGATAATGTTTAAACGCTTAGGCCAATCTAAAACCTTCCTTTTAGTTTCATCTAGTCAATTATACACACATGTTAGCAATTTCAGAAATTTTATAAACTATATATAAGAAATAAGAAAATTGCTATGGGTGTTAGAATGCAAATTGTGAAGGTTCTAACCAAAAATAAAGTAGTCCAAGCTTTTGTTGGGCATGTATTCATATATCAACATTCTTTCTTCTCCTTGAATGCAGCAAGCAAGAAGCTTAACAAGATTTCGGTGCTGGAGTTTGGCGATCAACACCACTTCATTTTTGAACTCTTCAATTCCTTGTCCAGACTTCTTTGAAAGCCTTTTTACAGCTATCAGTTGCTCATCATTGAGTTTTCCCTATAAACCATCATCTATAATAGTTAGAATCTTATAAGAAAATAGGAACCCTTCATCAGTTTTTAATATGACCTTGTATACTGGTCCAAAGCCACCTTCTCCCAGTTTGTTACTGCTTGAAAAGTTTTCAGTAGCTTTAGTTATGATTGCCAAATCCAATGTTGGCAGATCAATGTCTTCCTTCCTCAGTCTATCTTTGAAATGCTTCCCGAAAATTTTGCTTGGTACACCTTATAAGATGAAAGATAACAGGGGATAAGCACTGTGACTCTTGTTTTTCTTTTATTTGGATGCCTGCCAACTATCATATTTAGATGATAAATTATACAGGAGGCAAAGTTTACCTCGCCTTCTAAGTATGATTATGATGAAGCATGTAGTTAATCCGAAAATAATCACAGAAACTGTAATTCCTACCAGCTTCTTCTTCTTGTGTCCATGGCCATTAACTGCAACATGAACTGATTTGATAGATGCACAGCATGATTAGTCACAACGTACAAAAATTTAATTCAAAAGCTCAACTGAAGCTGACAGAAGTGTGACCAAATTCTTTAGACTGAGTCATTATTTAGAGAGAAAGGTAATGTATTTAATTTAGTCCCTCCCATATGAGAAAAACGAAATGAGTTATAAAATAAAAACAGTAAACTTTCCCCCAAGAAAAGAAAAAGAAGCAGTATAACCAATAACAAGCATGGCTAGTTACTTTCTTGCCAATGAGCAAAATCTAGTGTCCGTTAGATCTTTGTTTCAATTAGTGCAGTCTTCTCTTGAGCATGACCTTACAATCTGCAATACATAAATATTCGGCTAAACTCACATTGGAAATTCTCATTTCTCACTTTGTTTATTATCCCTTCTGGTTTCCGTTAGAACAATGAAATGTAATGTTAAATGAAAAAACACAAAATTTAAAGAATTGAATACCTTCAAGTTCTGAAGCAGGGACTCTGATGTAAAGGTCTTGTCCCACGTGAGAGGATTGCATCGTATCAATCAGATTATGAAACCAAAGCAGACAGCCACTTCCTCCTTTACTGATATCCAAATTAGCAAATGATGTGCAGGAACAGTTTTTCAGACATAACTTCTGACATTCATCAATGTTCATTGTCTTACTATACCATGACCAAGATGTGTCCGGTATTTTCAATCCTGAGTACTTCCAGAACCCGTCCGTGTTGTTGTTTCTACAACTAGATTTAGTCCTTGGAACACAACCGTTAGACCAATTGGATTTAGTCCATTGTTCAGGAAACTTGGGAACATATGCTTTGAGGCATTCACAGGATGGAAAATTCTTATCATCCATCTTGCATATAGAATTTGCACCACATAAGGCATAGTTTTCACACGGTTCTACTCCCCCAAATGTTATAACTTGCCTGCTTGTTTGACTTGTCCAAACTAATTTTTGCTCGACCCCTGAAGGGGTCAGTGTATACATGGTAAACGTCGATCTATCTATGAAATCAATCTCAAAATACACTTGTTTTTCATTCAAAACGAATTCATATCTAACTTTTGTTTCGACCTGATGATTTGCATATCCTGTAATAGTCAGGCCATTCCACGACCCTAATCTATATTCTATTGCAGATCCCTTGAATCTAAAAAGTTGAGGATATCCTCTAAGGTCAAGTTTAACTGAGTAGTCTCCCTTAGCTGGATCATCTGCACTTTTCCAAGATGATAGAAACCTTTGTAGACCAGTTTCTAAGTTCCAACCAAGCTTCATCCCAGACAGAAGTGTATCCCCCGGATAATCAAAACTTTGCCATAAAAAGTTGTCCTCGTCAGCACCCTGTCCATTTTTCACCACAAGATTTCCAGAGTCCAAGAGCTGCGCAATTGGATTACTCACTGCTTGGCTTGATATGTTGGAATACCAAACACTGCTGTTTGTGCTATTGAGAATAACAAGAACGCCACTTTGATTGAGTTTTAAAACTCCTGAATTATTGTGGAGTGGTGTTTCTCGGTTGGCCACCCATACCGCTTTTAAAGGGGATATATTGCGGTACCATACACCCAAGTATCGACCTGTTGAACTTCCAGGGCTGAAGAAACCCACTTCAAAAGTTCCACCTTCTGAAACTAAAGTCTCACCATCTCGGATAGATTGATTCCCTGCTAAACTGTCCAGTGAAGTTGAACTTACCGTCACGTGGGAGGATAATAAGAACCAAATAAATAAATAAGAACTAAACAAGATGTTATACACCATTATTCTGTAAAGAACTGTGTCCGAAAGTTGGGGTTTAAAGAAGAGTGATTTTTCAATGACTTCCAAATTACATAAACAATATGCTCACTTTCATGGCCTTTAACTCACTAGTAGAATTTTGGGAGATATTAGTTTTAGTGAGACTATGTGGTTTTACTATGCAAAGGAAGAGATGACATGTAATAGAATGAGACGAGACTCATGAAACAAGTAACAGAAGCTCAAGGGAAGAGAGTCAGAGACAAAGGAAAAGATCTCACGATGCTGTTGGTTCGTGGAGGAATAGCGCCAAACAATAGTTGTCAGAGGAAGACTGTTTTAAATCATTGACTGAGTCTATTGTTGATTAATATATACGTGGCAAAAAATGGTCCATAGAAGTGGGATAGGTTTACCTCAAATTCTATTCTCCCTTTCTAATATTATTTTTATTTTTCTACAATTTCTTATATTTTTCAAACCTTTTATAACAAAAGAGAAAAGTTATATTGATAATTTTTTTTATAAATTTACAAATTACATTATGTCTTATTGGTAAAATTTTATTCAAGGATGTCTTATTGATAAAATATAGTGTACTTTATAAATAAAAAAATTATAAATATAATCTTTCCCATAATAAAAAAGGAAAACTCTGTTAATAGCCAAAAGTTTGATGTCCTAAATTTTTTAGGATAAAATATTATTTATTCTTGAACTTTGGCTATTTTTAATTTACCACTTATAATTGTTTTAATTAATCTCTTGTAATTTATTATTGGTATAACTAATGTTATCAATCTCTTGTTTGAATCACTAATTGATCTGGTTTAGTCAATTAACTAGTCATGCATGCAAATCACCCAAGAACCAGTGAACTGGGTGCAATCGGGGCTAACTCGATACGATTTTTCTGGTTGAACTGATTTTTAAAGTTGGGACAAAATATTCCACCATAATTGTACTTGAGTTTCAAACTTGGCCTATAAGGGGAGGGAAGTGAAATACAAACTACTAAGCCAAGCTACATTTGGTTGTCATATTACTTTTATTTATATATTTTTATATAAATTGAATTTGAGTGTTTCAACCAAACACTAGTTAGTTGAACCAGTGACTCATTGATCCGATACCTCGATTGAGTTGATGATCGGCACAAGTTTAATAATACTAATGGTAACAAATTAACATATAACTTAAATTTTGACTGAAAGTGTTAACTCCCTTAATCCCTAATTTTTTCTCCTTCTCAAATTTACGTTTGTCCCTGTTAGGAATTAAGGACATTGTTAATCACACCAATTGACTTAGATAAGTTTAAGTTAAGTGAGAGTCTCTTTGTACTAATTAAATAACCACCATAAAGTATGCCTTTTGAACAACTTTCCTATACTCATGATTAAAATGAGTAGCTTACCATCTTTGAATTTAGTAGTAGCCTACCTACCATGGTTGAAATTAATAGCGCACATGGAAATTAAGTCAACATTTGAACAATCCCTATTTTTATTCTCTTCCCAATTTTTTTTGCTTTAGTATTTGAAAAATATGAGAAGTACAGAATAAATTAAAATTAGTCAAGTATTACCTTAATTCCACGATGCTAGCTTCAATCTATTTTCTCCCGTTTGGCTTGGTAATCCAATTGTTTACGCAGGAGGTTTTTTTTTTTTTTTTCTTGTTTTCTTTCTTCTTGCTAAATTTGGAAAGACCTTTTATGAGGTGAATAGGATAGTCATTCCCATATGATTATAGAGTTTGATTTTACTTGAATAGATAAGAATTCAAACTAGAGACTCTGCATCATATCTTTTATTTATATGCACCAAGTATGCCAGTTGTTAATCATAAGCGTGATATATACCCCAAATACAAAACATGCTTTATAATTTGTCTTCCTCATCCTTTTTTTTCTTTGATAGTTCTTCCTCATCCCTTTAAGTAACAAATAACGTGTAAAAGCCATTAAAGCATTAACTAATGATTTATATATTGTATTCAGCTTGTAAAAAGGCATGTAGCTGAGATTTTTCAACTCTGTTGGGTCCATTCAATCCTGACGTATAATAGTGGCATTGGGTCTCAACTTCGCGTCATTTTCTGAAGGTAAATGTTATGTCTGCACGGCTACCGTTTATCCAATCATCAAGTATACAGTGGAGCTAATGGAATAAATGTGGAGGTTACCTAAATCTTAATTAATTTTCATCTTTTGAAATTTTAACATGGTGTGGCAGGTCCCAATCCATTTCTCACAACAGCTATGGTTATAGTAACTGGTCTGGTTGGAACAAATTTTGTGCAATCAAACACCTGACAAATTAACTATCAAATCCTAACACATACGCTGAAGAAATGATCTGAGCGCGTGAGCGCGTGAGAAGATAAAAAAGTGCTCTGCTAGGTTTTGTTCGCTTTTCTCTACCATCACTGACTGGGGATGGTGCTCGAGAACGGGGGGAGACCTCCGAACACTGAGGAAGATGGAATCAGAGATCGGGAAGCTAAGAAAGCCAAGGGAGAAGTTATGGTGGATCTGGAGATGCAGGATCCGTCTCTGGTAGTGGGCGCTACGGAGGGGGAAGTAGATCCGATGGAGCTGAACTCAGGTGAGAGGATTTCTTCGGGGATGGAGGACAGTCTTCGCAAGGATCCTCGAAAACTGGTATCGTACAAGGACTGTTTGCTCCGGATTAATGGGGTGTGGGATGGTCAGCAAGGAGATGAAGAAGAAGACTGGTTAGCTCAGAGTAGGAGAGATGAGTTGGATGAGGAGGAAGCTCTTAAGGCTTATGAGCAGTCGCAGGAGGACGATCCCCTAAATCCTTATTATCAATTTGATGTATTGGAAAAGTTGGAACAGTGTAAGCGCTGGAAGCTGTCACTGATTGTGAAACTGATGGGGAAGAGGCTGGGAGCAAGGTTCCTTTGGAACAGATTACACAAATTATGGAATCTGGAATGTGAGTACAGAGTGTTAGATTTGGAGAATGATCATTATATGGTAGAATTTGAAAAACCACAGGATTACCTATTTGTTCAGCAGCAGGGGCCTTGGATCATTGCAGATCATTATTTGATTGTGCAGAGGTGGAGGCCAAATTTTGATCCCTATGATGATTGTGTGAAGAAATTGGCTGTATGGATACGAATTCCTGGGGTGCCTCGTGAGTTCTATACTTATAAAGATTTATGGAGGATGGAAAACATGGTGGGGAGAACTTTGAGGATTGATGAGAGTTCTCTTAGATTTAATGGTCAGGGGCAGCAAGAGGAGGTTACTGATCGCGGGAGATTTGCACGGATATGTGTTGAAATAGATTTGAGTAAGAGTCTATTATCCAAGTTCAGGATTGGGTAGAGACAACTTTATATAGGCTATGAAGGCTTGCACCTCATCTGCTTCTTGTGTGGCTAGTATGGACATAGGAAGGAGCAATGTGCAATGAGTCCTGAAAATCATAGGACAAGTCCAGAAGAATCAGGGGAGAATGGCATGTGTTCGAAGGATGATGCTCAGAATGTTGGGGAGAGCAGTAAGCTGGATGTAGAAAAAAGTCAGGAGGAAGATGGCTTTGGTAGTTGGATGAATGTCCATAAAGGTTTTCGGAAGAGAAAAGCTCCTGTGCAGAAAAAAATAGTGACCAGAAATCAGGGAAGGATAAAGTAGGAGGAGACAGTGCTGGCTAGGGTAACTCCAATAAACCTTCTGGCTCGAGGTTCTCCTTGTTAGATGAAATAGCTGAGGATGAGGATGCTAAAGGGGAGAAACAACAGGGAAATTCGGATCTGCATGGTCCAGGGAGCTATACTGGAACCAAAGCAGGGAAGAAGAATACAGAAGTTAAGGCACGCAGGAATAATGTTGATAAGAAGATGGGTGGTCAGGAACAGATTGGGCAAACTCTCACAAAGAAGGGGAGTTCAGGGATGCAGATATATAAGGAGAGTAACAACAAAGCAGTTAAACCAGCTCAGAGAAAAGCCATTCTAGTTATGAAGGGTGGTCATAATCAGGCATCCAGCAACCATAGGATGAATAAAGGGGAGTCTGGTCTTAAGGGCAGTGGCAGAACCTCAGGACCAGGACATGGTTTGAAAGAGAAACCTCCAGATGGTATTGGTGACAGCATTTTGGCTTCACACAATATAGATGGCATGGTGTTGGATGATATTACCAACCTTGGGGGAGATTCGAAGTCCAATCTTTTGGTGTAGGTTGGAACAGATTTTGGCTTTTGAGGTACTCTCTTTATTCTGTTTTTTTTTATAGTTTGCTCTTGGAATTGTAGAGGAGCAGGAAAAAAAGGATTTTCTGCTCTTATTAAGGATTTGGTATATCAGAATAGGATTCAGGTACTAGTTTTGCTGGAAACTAGAGTTAGTGGTAGTAGGGCTGATAAAATTGTTAGGAGTTTGGATTTTGATAGTTATTTTAGAAGGGAGGCTGTTGGTTATTCAGGCGAAATTTGGGTACTTTGGAATAAGAGTGTTACTACTATATCTATCCTTTTGGATAATCATCAGTAAGTGCACTCAAGATTATGTTGGGCTGAAACTGGAAAGATGGAATACTTTACCTTTGTCTATGGAAGTCCCAGAAGAATGGATAGAAGATCTTTGTGGGACAACCTTAGAGATATTGGGCTGACAGTTGATCTAGATTGGGCTGTTCTGGGGGATTTCAATAGCCTCTTGGAAGATAGTGAGAAGCAAGGAAGGAGTGAAATTTGTTGGGGAAGTGTTCAGGAATTTTCTGCATGTCTTAAGGAGTGCAAGCTCTCGGATTTAGGATTTTCAGGTCCTAAGTTCACATGGAAAAGAGGTAAGCTTCAGGAGAGAATTGATAGATTGGTGGTAAATGAATCTTGACATTTGAATTATCCAAACAAATCTATTCACCATCTGAGTTTTAATGGTTCTGATCATAGACCCTTATTACTTAAAGATGATTCATCTGTTGTGGACCTTGTAGCTTGGTTGACAAATGAAGGCTTTGGGGAGGTGGTTGATTCTTGTTGGAATCAGAGTATAAACTGGGTCATTGCAAAGGACAAGTTCCATAAGGAGGCTTCTTCCTAGCACTACAATACTTTCAGGGAATTACATAGGAGGAAACATAAGATCCAAGGCCAAATGAGAGGTTTGGAGATTAAGCTGTGTAGGCAGCCTAGTGAAGCTTTGGAGAGATTGCATAGCTCTCTTTGGCAGGAGCTGAACACAATTTATGGGCAAGAGGAACTGACTTGGTTCCAACGGTCTAGGTGCAAATGGATGGCTTTTGGA